CCTTGCTCTTGCCTGTCCTCACTCCCAGCACACCCTGCGCTCCGTGTTTAGGGTGGGAAAATGCTCTTTGCTACTGAGGCAGTGTTCCACGGCATGAGAGGCTAGAGAGGGCTGTCACGCTACAGGTGGGGACGGGGTGGGGGGGGAGTCAGGGGCTGCTGAGTGGGCAGGACTAGCGGAGTCCTACTTCTTCAGATTCAGGGCTCCCGGGGAGGGTCCCCTTTCGGCTGAGGGCAGCACGACCGCTCATCTGGGGGACAGGAGCCTCTATAAAAACCTAGGTCTGACTCTGCCTTATTCAGTCCCAGGAGTGAAAGTCTGGTCTAAGGACACACTGGGGCAAGTAGCCTCAGACCCCGGCTCCAGCTGCATTTTGGCATCATGGTTAAGACATCTTTAAGCTTAAGGACCTTCCCTTGAAGTTGGAGACCCAGCAGTCATTCGGTGCCCGTGAGCTCTGAGTCTTCCCAGACATTCCCAGGAGAAGCAAGAGTAGCTGGTGGTCGTGGGGGGTTTGTGGGCATCCGGGCTGGAGTGGGACAGGGCCTTCTGGACCACATCCTCTTCCCACATGGGCCTTGGGGCCTGCCTCTTTTCTTCCCGCAGAACAGTGCCGTTCGGGGGTGGACTCAGCCTGGCCCTGGCTAACACTCTGTCTGTGGGCCCCGGGGTGGCCGATAAGGGCACCTTGGTCTCCTTAGCTCGCTTCCCAAGCTATGCTCATCAGTGGCCTGACGGCAAGTCCTCCCCCGCTCCCCCCAGGGAAAAGAGAAGCCACTGCTAGGATGATAAGGATAAGACATAATTAACATGGCCTAATTAGTGAGCAGGCGGCTGCTGCCTGGGCCCTGCCTGCCTGCCCCCCTCCTCTCTCTCCGCCTCATCCCAGCCCTTCGCTTGACAGTTCCCGCAGAGAAGCCGGGAGTAGGCTGAAGACACGTCTCACAAACAGGACACAGCACGGACACACACCACCACGGGACACAACCCGACCACAGCAGACAGAGAGAGGCCGTACTCGGTCTTTGCTGGTGCAGGCGGAACAGAGCTGTCTGCAGTGGAAGGAGCAAGCTCAGGGGCTTGGCCACTGGCCCCAGCGGCGGGAGCAGGAGAGCCCAGGGCTGCAAAAACATCCTTTGCAAGGTCAATATCTGGGGTCTTGAAGTTCCCTTCGTCCATTTTAAAGTCCTCGCCCTGGGCAGGGTTTGTGGTGCTGACGGAGGCAGCCTCGCTCTTCGGGCTAGTGAGGCCCGTGGCTGCCTCGGTCGGGCTCTTCGCGGCGCCGGGCTGGGTGGGCTCGGGGTCCGGGCCTTTGGTGCTGGGAGCCTCCTGCTTGGCCTGGGGGGCTTCTGAGGCAGGGGCGGCCGCTGCTGCCGTGGCGGGGCCTGGCGCGGGGGCCGGCTTGCTGGCCGGAGGGGCCTTGGAGGCCTCCCCCATGCTGGCGGGGGCGCTCGGGCTGAGCACAGCCCCCTGGTTAGCCAGGACACTAGAAGACAGATTGCTGGCAGCAGGGGCTGAGCTCGGGGTGTCACTCAGGTCAACGAGAGGGGCGACCTTGGGGGCTGAAGCGGGGGGTGGGGAGGAGGTGGCGACGCCGGGCCCCTTGGAAGGGGTGGCCTGGCCGGCGGGCACAGAGTTTGAGTCGGGTGTGGCCGTGGCCGGGGGGGCAATACTGGAGGTCAGGGTGGTGGTCTCACTGGTGGGGCTGTTCTGAGCAGTGGCAAAGGTTTCGGTGACAGTGTCAGAGTTAGCGGTGACGGTGGTGACAGAAGGCAGCATGTCCTCGACAGTGGCTGTGGTGTCGGCAGGCAGCCTGCGGGGAGGACAGGAAGTAGAAGAGAACAGACAGTGAAGCTCAGACGAGACGGAGAAGCAGGGGAAGGGCTGCAGCGGAGGAGGGGGGCGCAGGCAGGGCGGGCAGGGACGCAGAGGCACAGACAGAGGCCCACAGAGAGACGAGGACGGCGGGAGGAAGCACAGGCCCAGGCGGGCAGAAGAGGAGACAGGAGACACAGAGCAGGCGGCAGTCTAAAGGGACCTGTGGGCCCTTCCTCCCCGCCGATGCCCCTCCAGCTCTCTGCACTAGGCTGCCTTTCCCTACAGCCCTGTCGGGGCCTTCCCGAGCCCCGCCTGCACCCCAACTCAGGAGGGGCAGGCTTCAGTCCGGCATCCGCTGCTTGCCGGTGTCCTAGGCCCCCCGAGGAACAGACTCCACAGGCAGTGATGGGGAAAGTCAGGAGGAAGGCAATGAGTGCTCCCAACGGCCCCGAGGAGCCACGTGGGCTCTCCAGCCCGAGATTTTGTGCTGCCATTCAACTCCACTCCCTTCAAACCCACAGCACTCAGGACAGCCAGCAGTCGTCACAGGCTCAGCTGGGCCTGGTTCCTGACAGAGGGTCCCCCAGGCCTTTGAGAACAGGAGGGTGGGGGAGCTTCACAGCCCCTCACCTTCTCTCACCCTTCTGGGAAGAACGCAGAAAGCCCTAGAGTTCTTCAAAGTCCTGAGCAGAACCCGCGGAGCCTCTCAAAGCTCAGCCTCTCTCAATGAAGTTTTGCCCCCTTCGGCTGTTTCCAGGATGTGTGTGTGACTCGGGAATGGGGTCTAGAGGTCCCACTCATCCCAGGAGCCCTTTCCGAGCACCTACAGGCCCTTAACAGAACCCAGAATGCCTTCTCTCTAGGGAGAGAGGGGGGGTCAGGCATTTCTGGCCAAGGGCTCCACAATCTAGCCTGCTTGTTTGGCTGGGAGTGGTGGGTGGGAGGCATGGGAGGTGTGGGTAGGGTGACGAGGTGGGTGTGGGGCTCTGCTGACGAGGTACGGCCCCTCCCCGCCCACGTACTCGGGCTCTGTCAGCGGTGTGGTCTCATTGGGCTCCGTGTGTTTCCCTCCATCGTGGTTTGGGGTCCGCTCCTCCTCAGTCCGCACCTCCACGATGGGCTCCTTGGACTCATCTTTCCTGTGGAGAGAGCGGCTGGTTCAATCCCGGGCTGCTGGGGCGGAGAGGGGGCTCCTGGAGAAGCCAGCTACAGCTCGCGGCACCTGGGCCCGGCCCAAAGTTGGCAGGGGTGTGGGGGGGTGCAGCTCAAGCCAGGCCCAAGCGCCTGAGCCTCGGTTCCCACTCGTGCTATGTGACCCTGAGCACCTGACTTGCTCACCCTTGCTTCCATCTCCTCATCTGTAAAATGGGGTAAATAAGTCTCTGCCTTGCTGAGCTGTTTCACGTTACCTGAGATAATGAGTGTACGTGCTCAGCACAGTGCCTGGCACAGACAAGTGCTCAGGTAATCCGTATTTCTGTCCAGAGCCCGACACATGGTGGGGCTAACAGCTCACCCCTCGCTCTGTCCCTTCCTGCCTTGAGTCTGTGAAGGCTCCTGCTAACTGGCTCAGGATCTGTTTCTCCAGAGATGCTGGAGGGGACAGCATCTGGAGCTTCAGCTCCGAAAGGACAGGGAGTTTTACCTGTTCTGTGCATGGGTGTAACGTCGGGCCGGGAGTAGTGCTTTGCTCCATAGTAGCTGCTCAATAAATATTTCCTGGGAGATGTATGAGTGAATGAATGAATGAGTGAATGAATACATGAATGAATGACAGCAAGGCAAGTAGGTCTCTCAAATGCTATGGCAGGTTCCCTCCGGTTCAGCTCTGAAAATTCCCCTCATTTTCATTTATGCAGGGATTTTCAAACTTCTCTGAAATTCTAATATGCTAGATGTGAGGTTGGGCCCAAGCGTTGGCTTTGCAAACACGTACCCCCAAAGGCTGTGCTCTGAGAAACATTTCTCCAATGAGATGGCTCCGTTGCTGGCCCCCCGCCCCCCCCAGCCCGGGGCAGAGCCCAGACCCCAGCAGTGGCAAGTGGGTCTGTACTCACGAGAAGGCGGCTTTGCCCTCCTCCATGTCCTTGCCCTTGGCTCCGGGCCCGGCCTTCCCACACAGGTTGACGGCGATGCACATGAGCAGGCCACATTTGTTCAGGAAGTAGCAGGTGATGTCCACCACCACCAGGAGCAGGACGAAGATGACTATGAGGATGCCCACGATGGCCCCGGTGCTCAAGCCTGATGTAGGGCTGCCGTTGGCTTGAGTGGGAAGGAGGGAGAGAGATGGCCGGCAGTTACTACACTGCCTTGCAGACTCCTGCGCCCTGTGCAGAGTGACAGCCCCTGGGGCGGGGGAGAGCCTACAGGACACAGTCATGGCATTTGTGTCGAGAGGGTCACCTTCCGTGGGGCCTCTCTATACCCTGGTGTTGAGACGGCAGAGTCTCTTTGTATCTTTGAGGGGCGGACGGCAGCCGTATCTCACAGACCAGCGGACAAGGGCATGAGGCACCCACAAGTCAGGATGCAGGTGGGGACTGGGAGCTGTGTCTCCATCCTGGTGCTCAGTCTCTGAGCCTCCCCCCGACCCATCCTTAGCTGATCTCCCCGTGAGCCCGGCAGCAGGCAGGCAGGAGATGGTCACTGGTTTCGGGCTGGACTGTGGCTCCTGGGAGTGGTCAGGGGCAGGGTCCCAACTGGGCAGCAGGGGGTTCCCAGGGCTTCCTGTGGGCTTGTGCTGACATCAGGCACAATGGTATGCCCAGAATGCTACCCCACTTCCTCTCCTCTTTAGGACCAGCTCCAGAGGATCCCAACACTGGACGATGGACATGGTTTATCCATCATTGCACCCAGGGAGCTGAATGAAGCCCATTTACTCTGGAGACATGGAGGTCTGCCCAGCCCCGGTACGCAAGGTGAAAAATTTGGGTATACTCACCATCTGGGAGCTCAGGCACACTTGGACCAGACTTCAGGAAACCCAGGAGACTCACCCAGAGATGCAGGTCCACACGGACAGGCACACTCACACTCAGGGCAAATACCCTCCGTGCCCACGACAGACAGACCCACATTCTCACATCCGAGCAGTACCCAGCACTCCCGTTCTGGCTGGGCTCACTCTGAATGACTCGGCCTCTGTGTCCTTCTCCCCTGTTGTCCATCTACAGAGCCCCTGGGCCCCGGGGGATTGATGGTCTCACAGAAGGGCCCAGGCTCAGCTCCCTAGGCCCCCTTGTGATAGCTGTGATTTGGCTGAGGTGGCCCCCTGACTGGTGAGTCCCTCCAGTGTCTGGGAGACACGTGGTTATGCTCTGGGAAGCCAGGAGCCAGCAGGGCTCTGCCCACAAGTCAGCATGGAGACCATGACCTCAGACTGAAACATGAGCACGTCTGCTTCATTTTTCTTCTGGAAGGGTGGAGTACCAGACTGGCAGCCCCACCCCACCCCTGGACCTTGTCTGAGGCTTCCTGTGCTGGCGGGACCCGCTGGGATCACCCCGGTCTGCCCACTAGAGGCAGTCACTGTGGCCAACACTATGTGGTCTCACTGGGCCTTTGCTGTGCACCAGGCCAGGCCCGCTGGGCTGCCAGCCATGTATCACACCACGTAACAGAGGAACGTGTAGTCCAAGGTGACAGGTGCTACAGACGGGCCACGTTCTTCTTTTACACGCAGTCTGTGTTCCTGGGGGCACTCGTCTGTCTGCCCAGGGGTTCCTGCTCAGGCTCCATGGGGCTTCTTCAGCAGTGATCCTACCCCACTGGTCTTTGTTTCAAAGTTTAATTCAGGGTACGAACCACCAGCCCAGCACGCCAGAGACGACTGCTTGCTCACAGCTTAATTCGCAGTACCCGTGGCACAGATGGGCCTTAGTTGGAGAAGATTCTCAAATTCTCGAATATTTGTGGCTTCTTTGGGACCTTGGTCTTGCTTCCCAGCCTTTTCTCCTTAGGCTCGCTGGCTGGTCCCATCCAACCCACACTGAAAACCCTAGGCTATGCCCAGGAAGGCATCAAGATGGACCAAGGGCTCTGAACCCAGAGGACCCAGCTCTGGCCACGCCATCTCCGGACTTCGGCGGCAGGAAACGGCCGGCCGGCCCCCGAGGTCCGCTAGAGGGGGGTCTTTTCCCTAGCAGCTCACGGAAGCAGAATAAAGCAACCATTCTTCTCTCGCAGGTCCTTACACATTCCACCCCAATAAGCACAGAGGCATGCAAGCCTTCCTGATCTTCAGAGTCCCAGAGCTGCTTCCCCGAGCAGGGAGGGGATAGCAGCCTTGGGCTTTCTCTCGAGCCCGAGACACTGGGCCGGAAGCCGCTGCTGACGTCAGTGCTCCGCAGGTGCTGAGTGCCTGCTTCCCCAAGAAGGAGCCAGAAGTATTTGCGTGAGGGGACAGTGTTTGTGTTTTCGGGCTCAGTGGTACAAACTGTACCTTCTGAGTATACACATAAATACGGTTTTAGGGGACAAATGCTCTCTAAAGAGGATGACAAACCACCGCCAAGTGGCTCCGCGTGTGTGAGGCGGCAGTTGTCCAGCTTATGCTCTGGGCTCATCAGCCCCAGCCAGAGGGCTGCCTTGGTCTGAAGGCCAGCACCACGCGCACGCACTGGGGAAAGGCCAGAAGGGTACAAAGACCCCTGTGACGTGAGACAGAAAGGGAAGTGGTCTTCCCTTCTAGCAGAGATAAAATTCAGACTCTTCCTCTTGGCCCGAAGGCCCTACACGGGCTATAGACAGTCCCACTCTTCTGATTGTTGTGACTCATGGCACTGGCCCTCCACCCTCCCATCCTCGTGCTCAGGCCAGAGCCTTCACACCACCTGCTGAGCACACCCAGCCCATTCCTGCCTCAGGCCCTTGCTGACCCCTTGCCTTCAACACTCCAGCCCCATAACTTCCTGGGTGGCTCTTTGCCATCCCACAGGCCTCGGCTCAAAGGTCACTTTGTCATAGAGCCCTCTCCCTCCATCCCCCGATCTCTTATCTAGTGAGGCACCTCTGCCCACTATCTACCACATTACCTGCTTTCTTCTCTTTTTACCTCTAGCTGACATTTTCTCTTCATTTACCTGCTTTTTATTTGGCTGTCCCTTCTGGAAGGTTCTACCAGGTACTCTGTCTTATGTCTCCCCAGCATCTAGGACAACCTGACTGATAGGAAATGTTCAAAGAGTATTTGTCAAAAAAAAAAATGAGTGGGTGTTGAGTCTGGAGATGAGAAGGCCATCTCCAGAGATTTACAGGTGGACTGTGAAATGGAAGAAGTAGTCTTGTTCAGTATCACTGCTGGATGGAAACTGGATAGAAACTATAGGATCCGGGGTAGATTTCCGCTCCCCTCGAGAAAGAACTAACAGAGGGTGAGCTGCTTTGGCAGGCAAGCCCCCTGTGGCTGGAGGGAGTCGAGCAGAGGCCGGACGACCCCTTGGCAGTGGTTCCGTAATGCTCTGGAAGAGGTCCCCGTGCGGGGCAGGGCCTGGGTTGACGGCATCTCCACACCCCCCTCAACCACAAGAGCCCACCGTCCCACGTCACCGTCCAGCAGCACCCCGTGCAAGGTACTTTTTCTTGGAAGCCTACAACACTCAGTAGGCCCTGTTTTTATTCACTGATTCTTGTGATTTTTTTTTTTTTATGTGGAAAATAAACACCTTTTAGCATAATGTCTGTCCACCTGCAGCACAATTCCTGGGGTGCTGTAAATTTAGACTCTGGGGCTCCGCAATTCTACGGAATCAGAATCTCTGGGGGTGAGGCTCAGGGATCAGGATTTGGAGGAACAGCCCGGGTGATCCTCATACACAGCGGAGTTGGGGGAGTGCCGTTTTCAGGTCCCGTCGAGCCTGCCCTACAACGAGTAACAGCTGCTCTATGACTCGCCGCCCGAGGAGGGGGTGTGCGGTCTCACCGCGTGGCCTTGACCTAGCATACCGAGCGGATGGAGAGAGTACAGACTGCCCCTGAAGGAGAAAGGGCCACCCAGTTCACCACTAAGAGTCTTGACTTCCAGAGGGAGTAAGGCGCTCCTCAAGCTAGAGTGTGCATAGCTTCTACAAAAAAAAAAAAAAACCCAAAAACCAAACCTAAACAAAAAAACTGAAAATAAGGGAAACACCAGGAAATGGAGGAAAGTATATTGAAGTCAAGCCAAAACCCACTAGCCCTCGCGGATGATACAGGGCTGTAGCCCAGGAAAGCCAGAAGGACAAAGGGTGTCCCCCGTACCTCAGGTAACAGTTTATAAAAGGGAAACATAACCTTCCAGGGGTCTATCTTTGCCTGACCTTGCCACTGGCCTGGTCCCAGTCCCAGCCACAGACCCACACGCAAAGAGTTTCTTGGGAGCAGCGAGCGCCTCCATAACCTCCAGGGTCAGAGCGGTCCCAACGGTGATGCTGCGAACGCGGGGCTGTCCATCTTCTGTGGTTCCCGGCATGGGAAGGGTTGACCCTGAACAGGGACCCGGCTGCCCCAAGATGGAGACCTACATACACCTTTCTTAAATGCCTCAAAATGAGAATCTGGGTTTCACATTTTACAGACACTAGACGGGCCTGAGTCACTGTGTCACCAGCTCTTTGTGCAGCAGAGCGACCCCTTCCACCAAGCTGGGGCTCTGGTTCACTCATAACCCCATACCTGTCTGCTCGCTCCTTCCCAGAAGCCGCTGTTAAACAGACAGCTGGTCTCAAGGGCTTCCAGGAAGTGTCCTACTAAGTGTGATTATAAACAGAATAGGATTTGCCAACAAGAGCCTTCTCTCACATTCCATCACAAGGCCACTCTGCGAAGCCTCTGTTACGGGGTTCTAATGGGAGCAGGGAAATCAGGAGCCCTAGCTACAGCGTTGTACGTCTGGTGGCCCACAGTGCGCCTCTGACCCCAAAGTGACCACCTCCTGGGTCTGCAAAGGGACTGTCCCCTCCCCCTGCCTGCTGGGGACCAGAAGCGTCCAAGGAGGCAATGACCCACAAGAGTTCTCAGGGCAGCTAAGCAAAGCGCATAGCTCCTCATCAGGAAAGGAAAGCATTTCCTTTGCTAGAACTCCAAGCAGCAGGCTACAAGTTTGGGGTGCAATTTGGAGTAATCAGAGTTGTTCAGGTACACGTGAGGTGGAAGGAAAGGGCTTTTGACATTTTGTAGGACACACTATTCAATAAAATCAAAACACGCTGGTGAGTTCACGTGGACTGTTATTTCCTTTAATAACGCAAAGGTGTAAACTTCATCAAGGCCTCGCTGATTATCTACACAACAGTGTTAGCATTCTTATTAGTAACAAACGTGATCCAAACCTGCCGTATCAATATTTCGGAAGTGAGCAGAGGAACCCCGCGGCATGTGGAGCGTGGCAGCGCTGGACGGGGCGCGGCGGCGCGGGCAGCTGAGCGAGGGGGCAAGTGCTTCCTCCCGCGGGGGTCTCGAAGGGCTGCTACCTTGGGGACCGCTGGTGGGGCCGGGGGCCACAGCCGTCACTGAGAACGGTGTCCGGGGGGGGAGTGAGTGTGCCCTAACACTGTCTCTCGAAAGGCATCCTGTTAAAACCAGGGCCTGCCGGCATTGACCCCAAAGTAGCTTTGGCTGAGGCCCTGCCTCGCCTGGGGTGTGCTGGGGGTGGGGAGACGGGTCGTGTCAGGCCTCCCTACACTTTGGGCTAGATCTCCAGAGTCCCTTCGGAAACACTGACACTGGCCCTCCCCTGTGGGTGGGAATGGGACCAGGCTGGGGCAGACCTCCGCGATGGGCCCTTTTGGGTGAACACAGGACTTCTGCCCAAGATGCTATCAAGAGCACGCCAGGAGCCGGGAGGACAGTGACGGGTCACTCGCTTGAGGACAGATCCCTCCTTCCCTCACCCTCCCCAGAGCTCTTGCTAACTGACCTGGGATTCTTATGCCAGGCCTGGAGGCACCGCGTGTCTCTCCTCGATGCTCCGCCTTGTGCCTAAGAACCACGCCTGCTTGTCTTACGCTGGTGTGAAGGCAGAGTAGGGACCCCAGGGGAAGAGGTCTGAGGTGGGGCTGGGGAGCAGACAGGGCTGGGGTGAGAGGCGCTACCTGCCTGAGCTGCTGGGCAAAGTGCGGCCTCCAGTGTCTGCGCATGAGCCTCTAAATGGTGAGCGCTGGGGGACACGGGCCCACCGACATGGGCAGCTCTGCCCCGCAGACGGGATCACTGGGATTCCCAAAGGGAAAGACTAGTCTTCAAACATTAATTAAAAAAAAAAAAAAACCAACCAAGAACAAACAGAACTAAAAAATAAACAAAAAGAACAAATCAAACTTCTGTGGGATGTTTAGAGATGAGATATGTAGAATGATGTGACCACAATGGAGGGAGGGAGGTTTTATTCAGTAGAAGGTCCATCCCCAAGTGCGCACAGATGGTACTGAGCAGGATCCAGCCGAGCCTCCGTGCGAGACTTTAGCGAGCCTCTCTCCTGGGCACGCGGAGGGGTGTGCCCCCCAACAGCAGAGAGGACTAGCTGGTGGTCACCAGAATTTTTTAAATGTCACTAAAGCCACCGACCACTATGGGGGGTTGGGGCATTTGGGAAGTAGGACAGGCTGACGGAATTGCTGTATGTGGACGCCCTGGGCAGTCCAGGAGTGACCTGTCCCCATCCTTCTGCTCTGGTGAGAGTGTGTGTGTGGCGGGGGGGGTGGGGAGTGCGTGACCCGTGCCTGGCTCGAGGTGGATACCTCCAACTTGGGGACTGACGTGTATGCGAGACTGTCAGACCACAACCCCCAAGACACGAGCCTCTGTGCTGATCTGCGGCTCGCTGCTGGGCAGCCCGAATCACTCTGACTGGGGGGACACCCATCTCATAAAGCTGACGGGTACTGGGTGCATCACAGGCTGGCTCTGTTGGGGCTGCTCGTTGTAATACCAGGACCAAAGTGCCTCCCAGAACATCTGAGCAGCCCCAGATAATGCCTAACAAGTCCAATTTCTTCCACTGTATGGGTAACGGGGTGACTGACTCTGCCCATCGTGTTAGCAAAATGCTCGGGTGCATCCCAGTGGTCTGGCTCTCTTACCATGGGCATGTCAATGCAAGCGAAGCCGACTACTTTTTGAAGGGCAGAGGAGGAGCATGGGGTTAGAACGGGGTGGGGAGCACGTGGTGATTCGAACAATCTGATGCAAGCTTCGGGAGGTACTTAGACATTTTCCTCTGCTACATCATTTTCAGGGAAGAACAACAACAAAATGCAACAGGTAGCAGATGCGCAGAAACTTCTCTGTAAACCTAGCATAATGCTTTTTAAAAAAACAGTGTTTAAAGAAAAGTGCTCCCAAATATTTTCATTCTGCCATTAGAAAGGGGCAAACATCCTCGTGAACCCGCACAAGCGGACCTGTGAATGGTAAATAAAATGTCTGGAGGTCCCGCTTTTTCCAGTCACCAAACCTTCCTCTTCCACACAGAGTGCTTGGCGGCGTGGCCGTGGCGGTCCTGACAGGTTCTTCCAGAGGGGGCACTGATCACTCTCAGAGGAACTGGGCATTAAGCAAACTTAATTGTGTGTGTGTGTGTGTGTGTGTGTGTGTGTTCGAGATCCTAACAGAGCAAAAGCAGAGTCACTGCAGAGAGAAGCAATGAGACAAAGGTGTAGGACGCAGAGCAGCCTCCCAGGGTCGCTGCAGGTCCAAGCAATGGGCGCCCAGAGGGAGTGTGGTTGTTTAAAACCAAATGTGGCAGTGGGGATGTCCCAGTGACGGACGTCCAGGGTGAGATGTGTGACGACAGACACAGGAGGGGGGGGAGAAGGAAAGAGAAGGAAGAGACAGAAACAGAGAAAAAAAAATAGATAAAAAGAAAAAAATTAGGTCAAATATAGAGAACGCAAGAACCAAAGGTTAATTCAACTTAGTAAGTTAAACCGACAGGGTCAGAGAAGAGTTCAGTACGGTCTTCTCCCCGTAAGGCCAGTCCCGAAGCTCAGCAAGGGCAGAAGCAGCACAACAGCGGGGTGAACTCGGGGGTTAGGGGCCAGCGAGCGAATGAAGTTCAAGGGGGAGAACAGAGCCTCTGCAGTCAAGTACAAGAGTGTGACCAGGAGAGTGTGACCTTTGACTAAGGTCCGGCCTCTTAGGAACAGTCAACGAGCCTATCCACAGCCCCCTAGCCTCCAGAGCTTTCTACGCGGAGCGGGTGAGATGCACCATGAGCATCTCAGTGATAGGTCGGACTCCTCCTCCTCGGGCGCCACAATCCGCGCCCCCACGCTGTTCAAGACAAACCAGTCTGCGCCCCTCACCTCCTGCCACCCTGCTGACCACAGAATCCCACCATGAACGCACATCCTGAAATTCGCAGGTTTTGTACACAGGTCCCAACACCATGGCCAGGAGAGTCCAACCAAGCTCAGAGCCACCTCCTCCTGAAATGCATGTGGTAGAGCCACCGAGCCCTTGTGGGTGAGGTGAGCCGTCCCTCCAACCCTCTCCGGCTTCCCTGGGCACCTGCGGGCTTAATGAGAAGGACTCTGACATCTCTGCCGGGCAGGACCCTGGGGCACAAGGTCTCCTATTTCTAGATCTGACTCACAGGGTCCCCAACTGCTCCAACCCCACCGGCTGATGCTGGGGGCAGCACTCGGCAGGTGACTGCAGCGTGTCCAAGCAACCTGCCTACGTTGCTTAGGCCAGGCAACAGGTGCTGTCGGAACTCTCTCGCGCTGGGAAGGGGTGACTCAAGCCTGTCCCTCCCCCACCTCCTACACATCCCATAAAGGCTGAGCAGAACCAGACACACTCCAGACTGTCGATTTCAGTGAAAAACGGGCCAAAGAACACAGAGAAGGGGCACGGATTGGGGGGCTACCTCTGGACACGGTGCTAAGCAGCAGTGAGAACACTTGCAGCCATGCCCAGGGGCCTTGTCTTCACTGCTGCCCATGTGCACTAAGGGGCCTCCCTGACAATGCGGAGGGTAGGACCAGTGGCCGTGTGTCCTCTGGTTGAAGACCCACCTGCCAGCTCCCTGGAGGCCCCCACACGTCTGTCAGACACACACATTCATGCACACTCAACCATCGGGAACCACACACGGGTCTCACTTTGTTGTTTCCCTAACCGACTCGCGCACACGCAGGCCCATGTCCTAGGCAGCCTTCCTTTCCCATCTGAGGGCTCTCACGGACTGGCTTAGCATCAGTCCTTTGGGGCTGAATGACACAGGACCGTTGCCCCAGGATGCTCGGCCAAGCCTTCCTTTCTGGTCTCCCTCCTGCTGGGAGGCGCTATTTTGACAACTGAGCAGAGCGCCCAGGCAAGCATCAGAGACAGGACAGCCATGACGGGGCCACACCAAGGCAGCTGGGAGACTGGAACATCTTCCTACCATGCTTGAACACAGCACAGAGTTTATGGGGCCCCCTTTCAACAGGCTGCAGCTATATGGTGTATGTCCCCCTCTTGCCTGTGGCTGGCACTTGGCTGATCTGGAAAAGCACAGAGCGGTACTGAAGATCACTTTCTGCTCTGAAGGTTTGGTCAATGAGGAGACTAACCATCAGTGGCAAGGGGGCTGGGCCAGCAGGCAGAACTCTCCCTTTGTTCCCACACTTGAGTTGGTCCTGGATCCCTAGAGACAGGTCTGCGTCTCCTAGGAGAAGCGCTCCCGACGCGGTCTCCAGCAGACTGGACTGCCTTTCACGGATGGGGTTTGTCAACGTCCCCTTTCTCCACTCGCCCTGTTTCAAGCGATTCAATTTAATCTTTGTTGCAGTGGAGAGGCCCTTGGAAGATAGGATTTTTAACTAACCGGGCACCGTCTCTTCCTTCTCTTGGGGTCCCCACAGAGAAGAGATCCGGACCATGATTGTGCAGTAAGCAAGCATCAAATAGAAAGCGCTTCAAAACAATTAGGTGGTCCTTGTATGAAATGGCAGAGGGTAGATAAGGTCTCAACAAAAGATCCTTACTCAACCAGCCGCAAGGCTTGGCTGGAGCTGGGTTTTTCCCATCTGAGGGCTCCCGCGGACTGGCTTAGCATCAGTCCTTCAGGGCTGAATGACACAGGACCGTTGCCCCAGGATGCTTGGCCAAGCCTTCCTGGGGGTCCAGTACATCTCAACCCACTGCACAGGTAGGTACAAAGCAAAACTAAGCTTTGCATGGGCAACCAATCATGAGGATGGCTGGAAGCAAGCAAGTTGTCAGGGGCTGTTCAGGCACATTAGGAGGTGCAGCACTGTGCATTAATTCGAAGCGGGAAACTCACAGAAAGCAGAGGCGGTCATACCTGGGATGGCCGTGGGCTGGGCCGAGGTCCTGAACACAAAATGAGCCGCCTTGGACTTGCCCTGCTGGTTCTCAGCCACCACGTAGACCTCATACTCAGCATTCCACTCCAGGGACTTGAGCATGACGTGGTCACTGCCAGACGGGAGCCGGATCTCTGGTTTCCACTCGGAGGAGAGCTTCTGGGAGAAACCGGCAGGAAGGACACAAGACACCGGGAGAGTTTAGACGAAAACGCTGGTGAGACCGGCTAAGGGGAAGAGCTTCAGGGAGTCACTACCTTTGGTGCAAAATAATACAAATAAAAACCGATGATAGGACAGGGTGTTCATTCTTTACCAGCCTGAACACCCCTAAGGATGATGCGGGTCAGGAGGTCAACCTCGCATTTTGTAAGCACGGTGGCAGGTAGCATAGGACCAATGCTCCAATGTCCTGTCCCATCGCCGTCAGGGCACCCAGGGACCCAAGCACATTCTGGAATGCTTGGGCACATGGATGCCCCGGAAGAGCCTTACAACGAATACGCTTCTTGTCCTATTTCAGGATGTTGCTCACACTTAGCTGTGGGACTCACCTCCCTGACACGGGAACACTGCATAGATTCGTTTTATTAACAATAAAAACTACCATTTGTTGAACACCTCCTATGCGCCCGGCCCGTACTAGCGGCTTTCCACAATTTTCTCAGTGCATCCCTACAAACAGCCCGTGAAGGGTTTTGTCAGGCTGCAAGTTCGCTTGGCCGGCCCTATGTCACCGGTGGCCCGGTTTTAATCTAGAACAATTCAAAACAAAGAAATTCAGCTGTCTATGTCTTCTCTTTCTCTGAAAGGCTCCTTTCCTTGGCAAACTCTATAAAAGAGGCAACTGGAATATAAAGCAAATACTACGTTACACAAAAGTACTAATAACATATAGTAATAGTATTTAGCCAACACCGAGTGTTTGAAGTAGAAGAGAAGACACATAAGGCTGTTGAAACCTGACAGATCTCAGTGTTCTGTCCCCATTGTCTTTTTAAGGCAGACCTGCCTGGCATAGCCACTGTGGCTCTTCTGGAAAACTGACATCTCAGGCGGCCTCATCTGGGAGGTGTCTCCAGCCCCAGCTGGCATCTTTATTTTATTTTATTATGTTATGTTAATCACCATACATTACATCATTAGTTTTTGATGTAGTGTTCCATGACTCATTGTTTGTGCATAACACCCAGTGCTCCATGCAGAATGTGCCCTCCTTAATACCCACCACCAGGCTAACCCATCCTCCCACCCCCCTCCCCTCTAGAACCCTCAGTTTGTTTCTCAGAGTCCATCGTCTCTCATGGTTCGTCTCCCCCTCCGATGTCCCCCACCTTCATTTTTCCCTTCCTTCTCCTAATGTCCTCCATGCTCTTAGCAGTGATTATGGTAGTTATGGGGCAGGGGAGGGGGGTTCCATGTGTCGGGCACTTTTCAGGTTCTTTGCTTATATTATAACTGATCTTCACCATAACTCGAGAAGCTATTTTTTTCCCACTTTACTGATGGAGAAACGGAGGTTTTGGAAGACTGGGTGACCTATTCAGGTCACACGCTGGTAAGTGGTAGAGCCGAACCTGGATCCCACGTCTGTCTGGGCCACATCAGCCTAACGAGGGCCAGAGACGGCCCACCCGACCACACTGTCCACTTCCTGTGGGCTGTGCTGGGCCATCGCTCAATCCTGGTTTCCTGTTCCACAGTGAGGAAGCCACAGGGACCTCTCATCAGTGGTGCCTCTAGGCTGGGCCTCAGGGAAGTCCACAGAGGCACCTCCTCCGACGTCAGCCTTGTGTCTGGCTTCGCAATTAACTGGGGAAGGGCTGAGTGGAATGACAGGTCTGCCCACCCACTGGGGAGTGTGCCTGAGAAGGTCTGTGCTGTAGCGATTCTCCATTAAGCCTAACCAGGCAAGGGCTCACACTCCACTTCAGTAGGGGCTGATCAAGAGAGAAGGAGTAAGTCAACTTCCTTGAAAAATCCTTTCTATTTGAGGAAAGAAAACTGCTCTCTGGTTCATTATTTCCTACGGTAAGAAACCTGAGCAAGAGGCTATTCCCAGTGCTCAGATACTGCCTCTAGATCTCTCAGCAATTGATTGTGGTTGGCAGTGGCCAAGTGTCATTCTAAAACCAAAGAAAGTGAGAGCGATTCTCATTTTGGGGCCTGGAGATGAAAAGCAGATGACAGAAATCTTAGGTGGTGAGCAAGCCGGGAAGAAAGGGATCCCAAGCTCACTGTGAGCAGGATTAGACCAGCTCAGGGAGGGTCCGAGGGGCAGGTGGGAATGACCATGGTTTGGGATGGTAAGGCAGCCTAAGGCAGGGGCGAAGAGCCCAGTGTCTTTAGACAGACCTGGGTTCAAACTCTGCCCACCCAGCTGTGAGGGACCATGCATCATTGACTGAGTACGTTACTTCCTCTGTGAAGGGCCGATAAGCCTAAGGCCAACTTCACAGGATTCTCATGGGGAAACAAAGTACACGATCGCAGTGCCTGGCCCATAATACACACTTGATCAAACGCACTGATTATGAGATATCAGTATATTATCTGCAAAAAGTACCAGGTAATGGCAAAACCACTTTGTAGAAATGTTCAAAAAGTAGAGCAATCGATCACGATAGGAGTTTGCCACCACCACAATCATTTTAGAGATTTCAAAATGGTCCCAGTGTGGACACGGCCTGATGGCTGTAGGTCAAGCTTGGGGTTGAAAACTCTGACCAGGGCCGCTGAGCCATCTGCAAGACCCAGAACGACTCTGCCCCGCCTGGGCTTTGCACACTGTTGCCCCAACAAGGTGGGTGTCAGGGTGGCAGAAGCGGGGGTGAGGACGGGGCGGGAGCCCTGGAGCCACTCACCGCTCGGTACTTGACCAGGTAGTGCCTGATGGGGGAGCCGCCGTCATCCTGCTTGATCAGGTTCACCTTAATAGAGTTTCCGTCCTCTCCCATCTGCCCTTCGAGCTTAGGTGCGCTGGGTTCCCCTGAAACAGCCAGTTAATTCATGTGACATTTTTGCCCACAAAAGGAAAATCTAATCCATCAGCATGGGATGTAGTGATGGGGCGGGGCTGGGCTTTTTTCTTGCTTTCTCAGAAATTCAAATGGTTAAAAAGCAATAAATATAAACCTTCGGGTTCCAGTTAGATGCGTCAGACTTAGCCCCAAACGAAGTGCTTTTTGGGAATGTTCTGGGAAACCCTCCCTAATAGCACAGTCCTTTTACCATTTTAGAAACAGGATTTTATTTTATTTTTTTAATGTCTCTCACTAGTGCTTGCATTTCCTTTTTGCCTGCTCTTACAACTGCAGATTTAACTTTGATGAGCCTGATACATTTTGAGGAACAGCCTGAAATACGGGAAAATGTGTGTAAGTGTTTAAGGAGAAAACTTACACCCATAAAATAATTCTTCAAAACAGCCAGTTTCTTCCCTGGATATATGATTCATCCTGGGGGTCTGGGAGACCCACATGCCTAGTAGGGGTGGAATGACACTGCATTCTTGTGACCCGCTTTCCATGAATTAAGTTCTGTTACTTAGATTCATTTAAAAATGTGACAACTTTCCAGTTATGCTTAAATAAAGCACAAGATGCCAGGGGCAAGTCTCCTGTAAGCATCCTGCATTTATGGCTCAACCACCTGAGTGATAATCCTGGGCAACTTGTTTAAACTGACAATCATTAAAGTCTTTTTGTTTGCGAGAAGAGAGAAAAAAAACGTCTTCAGGGTTTCTCAACAGAGAAAAGTTGATGTCTCTATTTGCAGTATATGCTCGGCTTGTGAATCCAAGGGAGAGAAGGAAGACGGTCTTGTACGGGACAAACTACCAGGGCTGGGATGGTTCTTCTGTGAGGAAGACGCTGAGTTACTTCAAGAGAAACTATGTCATTAGTGGATACTGGAAGCAATGAGGTGAGAGAATGTTTGAGAGAAGTTGAAATGAAGACTTAATGCACTTGGGGATCCTGCACTTCCTCCGAGGACATATCTGTATGTCTAGTTCATGGCCTCGGACAGAAACGTGGGAGAGCCTATAGAACAGTTACCCCCTGGGTGGGTTGTCCTGGCTTGTTTGTTGGAGGACAGAATCACAGACATGTGACCGAAAACCCAGAAAGGTTTGTCCCTAGGCTTCGGACCTCATCATCCCGAAGCGTACCGTTGACCATTTGTGACCAGGCTGCTGGCAAAGCCATCCAGCCCACCCTCTTCATTCAGCTCCTCTGGGCACCTCTCAACGGCTGCTCGTCCCGCTCCTCTCTTTGAGACAAGAGGGAACCAGAGACGGAAAGCTAATGGACAGCCCTTGCTACTCGGCCTGGACCTGCAGCACACACACCACCTGGAGCTTGTTAGAAATGCAGATTCCGTTTTAACAAGATCCCAAGGTGATCCGTGTGCACATTTAAGGTTGAGAAGCCACGGGGAAGGGGACGCATGGAAGCTGCAACAGGGAGGATGCATCATCTTAATGTCCGAGAGAGAAAGTATTTAGGAAAAGTTGTGCTTGTGGTTTGTTTTCCCCAATCAGTGATTAAGGAAAAAGAAAAACAAGAGTTAAAAAAGACAAGAACAGGTTTTAGGCAAAGACTTGTCCTGGTTTCGTGCTGCTCTCTAGCCACTGGCCTCAACTCTTCAGTGGAGAACATTTAGGAATTTGGTTTAGATGATGTCATGATGTCAAGGCGGGCTCACTTTTCAAATTCTCTTGGACTGTTCTCAGTCTTAGACAGAAGTTTAGTAATGTCTCCTATCGTTATAAATATCCTGTGCTACAAAGAAACTCAAACCAAGTGGAAGCCATGTCAGCACCGAGCAGGTCTGTGCAGAGTCACGAGTGCTGAACAAATGGGATCACGAGGCACAGTAGAACTTTCCAATCCTCATCTCTGAAGCAGGGTGACCAACTCATCCTGGCTGGTCTGGGCCTTTCCAGGTGTTAGCACTGCAAGTCCTGCACTCCAGAAAACCCTTACCCCCAGGCACACTGGGATGGTTGGTGGCCTGAGACTGAATGGGGATGGGCACCAATGATGACTTCCGTGTTCAAAACTGTGACACTGACCCTATGACAGTCTATCTGCCTTAAGAAGGAGGGGAGGAGGCGGGATCGGTGGCCCTTCCAACACACTCACCGGGCAATGACCTAGTCCCTCCCCCAAGGCCTTTGCTTTGGGGGGAATATCTACTTAGAAGAGGTGCTCCCTTTCATGTTTGTGGGGGTCCCTGTAAAACTGAATGCTTAGACAGGCCTCTGCCTCACTATCCACAGATGCAGAATAGGGGCCCTGGGCTAAGTGTTCTCCAGGGTCCCCTGTCGTTCTGCCAGCGTGGTGACCCAATGACAGTCACTGCATTAGGACAAACTATCCAAGAACACCTTGGCTATTTTCACAACACTGTGAAAGACAGACGCAAAATAAGGATGTCCTGCCAATTTCAGGGCAATGTACCCCAAGATCAGTAATTCCACATCTCTAGGGCACAGGGTTGTCCATTTAGATAGAATAGAATAGAATCGGAATCATAGAGAAATCACTGAAAACCATACCATGGTTAGAACACAGTTCTAACACTGACCAAAGCTGGAACGCTATCCGTTGCTAACATTTTATCAGAGTGATGACCACGTTATTCTGACATGTATGTCAGAATTCTACTTTCTCATAGAATTTAGAGCATATCATGTAATATTTAGGTGTATCACTTCAAGTGCTTTAACTATAATTTACTCAACAAACGTTTACCGAGTATCTACCCTCTAGGTACCAGGTAGTTACTTAGGCATTGGCGTCTCAAAGGTAGACAAGACAAGGTTTTGTTTGCCAAATGAAAAAAAAAAAAGCCTAGTTATGATCAATTCTTTTAAAAAAAATGGCAGGGCCCTCGTACAGAAACGTAACCCTTCCTGTGACAGTGTTTCTTCAGGAAGATTCTCATCAACCAGCATCAGAGGGATTCTGACCCACTTTGTAAGGATGGAACTTGCTGTAGTCACATAAAGGTGTAGAAAGAGCAATATTTGTTTAATGAATTGTCTTAGCCATCTTCAAATGTTCACCGTTTGTCAGTTTTTCTAAAGATTACGAATAGGCTAAAGAAACTGCTTCTTGAGCTCTCGGCAAGCAGGCGGCTCCAGCCACGCCTGACCAGGGAGGGGCCGATGCTGGAGAAAGGGGGCCTTGGCATTCGGGAGGCTCACTGCTTTACTGAACACATTAGGAGAGGAAATTATTTAGAGGGTCCCAATGTGCACTCTGTTCTGAAATGGCTGCTCTGATTGAAATCATTATAGGTAATTTCCGCAAAACCAATATTGTAATTATTTGTAAATGTTGGTTTAAAATTCAGCAGCAACTGGCAGGTTGCTCCAATACCCCTGGGGTTAATTACACCTGAATTTAGCTTCAGCCATGAGTCAAATTCCCCCCCAGATATTTTATGTAAAGACTAAAAAAAACCCAACATCACCTTAAAAATAAACCTTGCCGACAACAAATATAAAATATTAGGCAGCTCTGGTATTTGCTAGAAGAATGTAAATCATGTGTGTAAGAAAATAAGAAGGTACCATAGAGACCACATAGTCAGAAATGTTACAGACAGGTCCTATAAATTCCCCTTAGAAATTGTTATTGAAATGTGTATTTCTGGCCTCGAGGATTGTAGGTTCTTTGTAATTTTCATGCTATCGTGCCCTAAAATTGGAGTCGGCTTCATGTCCTTTCCTTCTTCAGCACAAGCCCTGGGGTCAGAAAGCTTACTGCTGGATATCTGAATTCCACAATGAAAACTATAGCAAGCCCACGGTGTTTGGACAGTATTTCTAAATTTTAGAAGGAAAACAATATTCTACTTAACTCAAAAATGCCCAATTACCAAAATTATTCTATCTTCTGACTCAAGTGCTGAGGGAGGCCTGACCCACACTCCTTCCTCATCCACTTTGCTGTCCCCGCCCACAGGGGTCTGCACAGAGTTTTGGGCATCTGAGTACAAACCAGTAATGGATGTAGGGCTTGCATTAGACTCTCTCCCTTTTTCTATCAAATGGGATTGTCTGGCATGACAAATACTGTTACTTTTGTGTATCCTAACTCCTGTTCCCTTCCCTGAATTACTTCTTGCAAGCCATTTGAAAAGAACTTGAAATGTACATATGCCTTTTTGTTACTTGTTTAGAAGAGCCCAAAATGTATGATTTGGCTGTTCAAATATGAAGCCCATTAGATCTTTCCAACTCAGGAGCATTGGAAATTACAAGAGGTTAGAAGTTTGGTCCTTAGCGGATGAGCAAATTACCTAAGGCAATCAGGATGTGCAGTTATTAGCCTGCTAATTGTCCTTTCTGAGAAGGACAAGCTCTTTGCTGAACAGATGAATCCAATGTACCTTGGACCCCCCCAACTTCCTGTGATGCCCCCTCTGATGGCCTACCTGGCTATTCTAGGGGTGCTGAGGGGGCTTTCTGACAGTCCCAGCGAGTGGCCGACAGTGCCTGGATGGGTTTCAATTTGTCCTAACCCTTGGTCCCCCAAAGCAGGCCTTGGGAGTCAAGTGTTCCTTTTCTCCTGAGCTCTTTCCTCTTCGTTGTTAAGAATTTGCTTGTGCTAGCCTGACCTGACTCTTTGCTATCCTGGTCATGGGCTCCAGGGAACGCTGGGGGACACGACGGGTGGACATGGCTCTTACAGAACGGACGTTTCGCTCTGAGGCCACGGTCATGGGGGCATCTGGCCTACATGTCCTTTTTGAATCGGGTTCCTCGGGGATTACGAATGTGAGTGTGTGAGCTGGGGGGCGGGTGGGGAGGCCGATGGCAGCATGGGGCATGAATGAAACAGCAACAAATGAACTTTGACAGACTGAACCACAGAGATACCAAGTCCCTTCTCGTGGGTGTCATGAAAACACCAACAGCTTAATTGATCAATTATCTTTGTTTCATCATCCTAAAAAGAAAATATGACCACGAAG